TCTAATTCTCGCCCTTTCTGCCTTCTTTGGAATGTCATCAATATGCTGACTTTATAATAAAGGAAATCTTTGACTTTTAAACTTTTTAGTTTGCTTGCAGTGTCTTTTTTAAGTATTTTATTAATGGCTGTACTTGCGTGAATTAACACAGCCCCTGATCACATTACTCTGCAAAGGACAGGTTTGTTTGCACACTTTGTAACGAGAGGAATTTGGCTTCCTGTGAGAAGCTCTGATTACATCCTCTAACACGACTCCTGTAACCTAAACGTAAACCCTAAAATCCAAAGATCCTTTTGACAATTTCAGATTTTCCTCTGCGATAATTAAATGTTCTTTTAACTGTCAATTTTCAACAAATTGACATTTCCAGTTCTTTAATTTCAGATTTCTAAAAGTCATCTTAAATTCATAATCTCAGACAAAAACACATCCACACTGAAGCAGAACCAAAAACAAGCTTACTGTTACACATTTAAGGCACTTTTAACAGAATTTATTAAAAAGCAGCAATAAATCCAGTAATGTGCTCCCAAGATAGAAGCTAAACCATCAAAAGATTAAAGAATAACAAAGTCTGCTTTCGATGGGCTTGAATTTTTTTTTAAACATTTTATATTTTTAAGTTAACCTGACCTTTGAAGGCACTGGAAATGTTATAACAGACCAAAATACATGCAGTATAGAGAGCAACAGGTGAGTTGCACAATATTATGAAGGAGGGAGGCTAAGATTTCTGCCACACAAGGCAATTTACGTACCCCCTCCCCTTAATTTCACCAAGCAGGTAATGTAGGAAAATATCTCACTGGGTACCTCAGCATATCCTAGTTAGAGGGGACACTAATAAGGTTAAATGCATATGTTGCATTGCCTCCATTATCTGCGTCTATTGATGACAGAGCTCCAAGTTGCCAGAGAAGGTGTTTCCAGTGCCTTCTAGGTGACTCTGAAGGTCAGTAACGGGAGTGGAGCATCAAAAATTAACTAGACAGAGCACGTTAATCTTTTAATCTGGCACTTTAATTCTCAGTTTAAATAGGTTAAACACAATCTGTATGTTTTTCATAAAGATTTGGTCCCTTCTCAACTACTACATGCACTCACCGGCCACTTTAATAGGTACACCTGCTAAAATTGTATGTGTTTCAATTCAACACTTCCACCACAACATCAGTGTTTATGAAGCTCAAAATGTTTCCGTTTTTGATTATAAATGTATAAACTCAATTATATGTTTATTATTGAGCTCATAGTTAAAGGTGGTGGTGTACTGGACTACATTATATTCAGAGGTGTCTCTATATTTTTGTCCTCCCTAGCTACATATGAGGGTCAGAATATTAGGAACACCTCTGAATATAATGTAGTCCAGTACACCACCACCTTTAACTATGAGCTCAATAATAAACATATAATTGAGTTTATACATTTATAACAGTTTCATCAAAAACTGAAACATTTTGAGCTCCATAAACACAAATGTTAAGGCTGAACTGTTACACTGAACTGCATAAAATTATACAGTTGCACCTAATAAAGTGGCTGGTGAGTGTTTATTCTGCCCCTCAGCCCACTGTGTATGATGCACCAAGACAAACCCCTCACATGTGGAAAGACACTTAGCAAACAGGTGAACTGTAAAATGCAATAATTCAGTACTTTGAAATTCACACTGATGCACAAGGTTCATGAACCAAGGTGTTTTTACAAAATGACAGACCTAAAATGGAGTTACGTTTGAAATGGAGCAGCAAATCCATTTTAGGTCTGTAATAACTCCACAAGCTCCACAGCCCCCACAAACCCGATGGAAGACAGTGACGATGTATCAGCAGGGACAGCTCAGTCCGAGTCGTCATCGTCCAAATACTCTTCAGCATTACTTAGTGTGCGGGTGACATCTGTTGACAGAGGAAATGGGCTGTTAATGACAGGAATACAGCAGTATTTTACATGTGTTGCATGTAATGATCACAGTACAAGTTACTACAAAGACTAGAAATAACAGTGTTGGTGGGTAGGGTAAGACCATATATTTGGGACCGATTTAATCACATCAATCAATCACAACACATGCAATCCAGAATCTTTAACATAATTGTAACTGACAGCATTTTTGTAACTTTTCTTTCATGAAAAATTTAACTGCAATAATAAAAATAAAACCTTGTATTAAAGTTTTACATTTTTTACAACCCTCCAACTAAACATGAAGTGCAATATTTGTACTTCAAATGTAAACAGGTGAAACAGGTAACATAAGAATGTCCGTTACATCAGTCTTTTTGCAGTCTGTTGTGTTTGCATTTGCTGTGTTTTACCATGGGAAGGATACATTGTACATACACATGCATTTTATTTGTAGCCAGTTGTTCCCTCATTGTGAACCATTTGTCAGAAATGTAGTTTCCCCTTCTCCAAGGTGTTTCTCGAGGCTCCTTTGTGCGGTTCTAGTACAACAAGCGCTTCCAATGCGCGAGTGAATAGGTGCTTGGTATAGATACTAACGCGAGCACAGGAGATACTACGTGCTGCTTGGGCTACACTTGTGGTCTGTACCACTGCGTGCACGACGTGGACTCTCATGCCTCTAAATCTGACCGGCATGCAGTTAGATTGTCTCAGAGTGATCGGCTGGTCACTGGCCACGCTGAAAATCAGCCATGTCCGATATCCGCCAATCAATCAGTGCATTCATTCATTCATTTTCTAGGGCTTAGTCCCTGAACGGGGTCACGGGGGGGGCCAGAGCCAATCCCGGCCGGCAATCGGGCGAAGGCGGGGTACACCCTGGACAGGTCGCCAATCCATCGCAGGGCTAACACATAGACGAACAATCACACACACGCACTCCTATGGGCAATTTAGAGACACCAATCAACCTAAGCTGCATGTCTTTGGAAGGAAGCCAGAGTACCCAGAGAGCACATGCAAGCTCCACACAGAAAGGTCCCAGGTGGGGCCCGAACCCGGAACCTGTGCCACCGTGCTGCCCTCAATCAGTGCATTTCTAGTCTAAATACCATCAAAGTAGAAATAAACAATGCAGAAATATCATACTGCAGTAATAACATTTGCTTATTATGGTATAAAACAATGTAAGTGGTTATGATTTAACTAAGCATAACCCTGCCACTAAAGCAGATAAAAGGTGTCAAAGTGCACTGTGTGTATTAATCGTTGAACAAGCTATCAAACCAACACTTACACTGGCAAATGTACAAATTTGCAACATTAGTGTTTATCAAGCAGAACAACTGAAATGCCAATAAAGTCACTCACTTTCCTCCCAGTGCACTTCAATACAAGTGGCAGAGTGCAGGGAACTAGTGTCTGCTTCAGTTACTACCTTGCAGCTAATGTCTAAGCAAGCCCAATCAAAACCTGAGAGTGTGGAGAGCGCGCACACTACCCGGTGGCCTTTCCAACAAATAATCCATAGTAAATGGTCCTTGAGTTTAACACCAACTCTTTCTCTTATCCCTCATACCCCTTAGACAAGGACCTGTGTTGGGCCTGTACGCCAGAAAGCGGTGGCTGATTTCTTAACATATCAAACCTAATTGCTCAAAATACCCCTATTTCATGCTGTTTATACAAGACACAGGAACAGGACATGGATAAAGACAGTTTGTCACATAAATACAGTATGTTGCTCATATACAGTAAAACAAGTTGTGAAAATCAACAATTATTCATTTTACTGTAAGCCCAGTCAGTCAACCTCAACTGACAGCCCAGTAAAAAAGAAATGCATATTATTCTGTTCCCTGTGTGTGTGTGTGTGTGTGTGGCCAGTCCTGCTGATGCTGTGTGAGTGGTACAAGGCTGCCCCCTAGTGGCAGCTGTACTTACTGGTTCCCTGCTTCCGTTTGAGAAGTGACGCACACTGGGCATTGGTGGCCATTTCCAGAGCCAGCTTATTCTCATTGTTCCTGATGTCTGTCCTTGCATCTGAAACAAACATATTCAGAGTGAAAAACTTTGCACATGTGAGGACACACAGGATGTGCATAGTCAGCTGATTATTATTTCCTCAAAATGGAATCACGCACTCATATTAGGGTTGACTAAAATCTTTCGGTCCATGCTCACTTTCAATATCCATCCAAATAAAGAGGATGAGTTTCTCTTTAGTAAACCATATACAAAACATGACTACTACTCACTCTTGTCCAGTAACATTTCCACAATGTCAGAATAACCTTTCCAGGCAGCAGCATGCAGAACAGTGTCTCCAAGTTTATTCTGAAACACAAAACACTTCTTCACTGACAAACACACTAACAATCACTAAGTCTGACATCACTCACCTACAGTAAGACAAGTGGTCACACCCAAAGTTGTGACCTAAACTACAATTATTTAAGCTGACTGTTGAATTTTCTTTTTTTTTTTTTTGCATTAAGTTTGTTTCACATTGTCACAAAAGACACATCTACACACAACAGAACTTCCACTTCCTGAAATAGTTGAGTCCAGGCTACAGTTTGTTCCCTTGATGCCCTCTGTTTGTTTTTCTATGCCAAAGTCTAACATGACTGACTGTCTTGAACAACCTGGCACAGATTCTCCAGCTCCTTGAAACACTTCTGGACGGATGAACACACTTTTTTAAAAACCATGTTCCTTCATTTGATGTTTTGATGTTAATGGACCTGAGATTTTCATTAAATAATTAAGTAACCCCTGTTTTTCCCTGTATAGAAGCATTGACATTTGTTATGTTTCTCCACTAATTTATTCAGGGTTTTCTATTGCTTTGTCAGCCAGTTTTTGATGAAATGCCCTTTAGGAATTGATTATGAAAGGAACAAACAATACGATCTTCTTGCTTTTTTAGTGCTACTGTGTCTTAATGTCATAACTTGCCTTTGCTAAATTTGATTCACATGATCTAGATATTTAAAATTGTAGGAAAAAATCTACTCGTATTTCCCTCTTTCACTCCCGAGTGTGGGTCAGCTGAAAGACAGTTTTAATGCAGCTGGTAAAAAATGAGTTAGAAATTCATCAGGCCTCACTATTGGGGCCTTGACCTCGAGTCTTGTAGCTGTAGAGGTTTTCCATTCTCACCACAACATCACACTGCCACCCTGCTGCACTTCTTGCAATACAAAACGGATGTTAGTGAAGTTACTGCCATTTCTAAATACATTTTTAACACATCCCACCTGTTGGTTGAGCTCCACACTGGGCTGGTTTAGTAACAGCTCCACGACATCTGAGAAAGGAAAACCAAGAAAAGTCTGAGTGATGGACTGAAGAACATTCTATGACATGTGCATAACAGTCATGAAGAGGCACAGAAAAAGTGCAACGCTATCACAGACCAGCTTCTTGTTTTTTTTTTTTATTATTATATACTTCACTTTTGACATAACATAAATCTGCCTATTACAATTTCAGATTTGAGTTGCTGCCTCAACAAGATACAACTATAGACTACCAACCGCCAAGTTAGACATATCCAAATCCAAATAGTGCTGCTGCCAGTCTGAGCATGCAGTGTGGTTGTGAGAAGAAAAGGCATTTTTGCATCTCTCATCCATGAAATGGCACTACCAAGAAAGGATCTTAAATTTTATTTTACTCATTGTTCTTACCTTTATGTCCTCCGTGGCATGCCCAGTAGAGGGCCGTGTTTCCTGCCTTATCCAGGCCATTGATTCCAACCTTGTTTTCAACACATTCTCTCAACCAGCTCAAATTGCCTGTTTAAATGCACAAATATGTGCAAATAGCCACAAACACACAGAGAGATAAAGGGCAGTGGTTACTAATGATGCTAACTGTGTAACAGTTCTTCAGCAAAAACAGAAAAGACATCATCAGGGTGTCAGAAATATGTCCAAAAAAACAATTAAAAAAATAGCAGAAGAAAATATTCAAATATGAAGACGGATTCTGCACCTCGTTTGGCTGCTTCATGCATTGGATGGTCAATGGTCTCAGCCTGCTCAGCCACTTAAAAAAAAGATTGATAAAATTGATAAATTCATTGATTTATGAGAATTATAAAAACAAAGGTCTGTATTAGGTAATATTTTGATCACCACAAGCATGTAATGAAATTCAAAGTTGGTCTGCTCACCATAGTTACTTGGAATGAGTCCTGTCCGTCCTCTGCATGTCCCCTTCCACCAATTAGTATCACTCTGGGGACAACAGTAACACAGAAATCTTCAAAGATTGATTCAGAAAGATTCAAATAAATGAGTAAGTGCAAATTCAAACTGAATGGGACATGAAGACTTAAAGAAGAAGATGGCAGCTACATCTATGAGGTTTTACTTACTGTGTCTGAGATGTACAAGATGTCTCCTTCTTCAAAGTACAGCTCATCTGGCTGAAAAGTAAAAATAAAAAAAAGACAGTTACTGCAGGCTAACCAGTCACAGAAAAGACATTCACAGCTGTTTGACCTCAACACTGACCCACTTTGTGCTACATTTCACCCAGCAGCTTCCCCAGCTTCGTTGTCCAACCGGAACATGCAGAATAATAAAAGTAAATAGAGTATAATTGTGAGACTTCCCCGGTGGGAAATTCACAAGCTACCCAGAAGTAATTTAAGTTAAAAGTATATAAGGCAGTTAAAATTACCTCCTCATTTACAAGCTTTAACATTAAATGTGATATACACAATGCATCAATAACTGTAATTCAACATATTGTACATTAATGTGTCATTCTGCATTATGAGTACTTTACTTTTACTTTATTTAGATGCTACCAGTATTAATGCCAATTTTACTTAAAGAATCTGTGCACGTCTTCCACCACTGACTTTAAGTCACTTTTAAGTATGGCCTGTATGACTAGTTCTGTCATTTTATTACATTCTTTTAGCCATATCTGATTCTGGCCCAGAGGTGTCACTGAAGGGCATTAACCAAAATGAGTGATTTCATTATTCTACTGTCCATCACTGTTACAAATGGAAATTGTTCAAGACCCTGTAGATTTATGGTAGTAACTGTTTTGTGGCTAGTATTCAACACAGCAATATGGGAGGATGTGAAATGTATCGATAAACAAAAAGTTCTTACTGTTCTGGGGTCAAAGGTGAACAATGCTCTGAATACCTTGACTTGGCCTAGTAAAGAGAAAACACAGATTGTGCAAGATGAAGTATTTGTATTTTCTGTGTCTCTATACATACTCTAACAGTGGTGACAAGGTCACAGCGTACTTGAGAACACACACAGATGAAACACACATGCTGCCACTTCACAGCCCTGTTGAACACCCATTTTAATTTCAAAACAGTGAGTCTGCAGGTGAGTATGCAACATAAATGTGGTTCAGTAATCTCATATGGGTACAGTAAATCAGTGCCACATGATCCATCACCTCCTTCAACAGCATGTACCATCTAACACTTCTGTGACCAGCAACATTTCTGCATGCATTACAGGAACAAAAAAAAACCCAACAGAGAACCAGTGTGTGCAGACCTGAGGCTGCCTCCCTCGGGGCCTGAGACGGTGCACAGTCGAGGCTGCTGTAAGCTCTACTGCTGGAATGCTACCAGAGTGGTTGTGGCCTGACTGCTGAACTAGTTCAAGTATAGCTTTCAAAAGATCTTAAAGAAACAGTGACATGATTTTCTCAGTTTATTATTAAATATTCTTATGAGCTATTTGATTCTGTGACCAACCAAAACCTAAAGTTAGTTAATTAGTAAGTTAAGAGACAGACAGGTTACACTGAAAGTCGAAGTAGAGGCTTTAACCAGACCAAATCTCATTCAACACTAGTGCAAAGCGATTCCATTCTCCTGATGTGCAAACAAATATCACAAGTCCTTCACTCCAGTGGCCTCCCTTTCAAAAATGTGTCACTTTACATGCACTCATTGAATACGTTTATAATATGCTCAATATGCAAATGAGCTTCAGCTATAGGCAAATATTAACATTACATTATAAAAAAACAAATTTTTATGTGCTTAATTATATTTCGTTTCCCCTCATTTTATGTATATCTTGATTTTTTACTCAATTTACACTCTTGCTTGTCATTTTTCTATCACTGCTTACAGTTGTGCAGCAACTTGTAACTTTGTTAATAAAGCGCTATACACATTTATTATTATTACCATTGCTATATCTGATGCATGATTTCTTATTAGGTAACTAAGTTTATCTGTGTTTTCCCTGTTAAATAAACAAACACAAATAGATCAAAATGCTCACCAAAGTATTCTAATATAGAATTTGACCAAGTACTAAAGATGCTGCTGAATCATCAATTTATCGTGTGTCAAGACTGACACAGATCTATTTACTGTAGGTTTTTTTTTTTTTAGATGTCTGATCCCAGACAGTAGAGTGTCTTCCCTGTATGCTGATGGTTTTAGCTGACAGGCCTAATATTGGCCGGAGTACACCTCCCTGCTGCTGTTACTCAGGGTTCCTGTTTAACACACTGCTTCAGAATGAGAGGGTCCGAGCAGCAGCACAAGCTCAGCTCTGTCCAACACCGCAAGCATGTCTACACTGCAGGCCTCGTCATGTTGCTTAAAACACACAAACGCCTGTGCTGACTAGTCTAGATTCTCTTTACACTGTGAAGCTTTGGGAAAAGACAAGGATTTCTTCTTGCTAAAATAAAATGAGAAAAAACTAAGCCTCAATGAGAGCAAATTTTTTTGTTTTTACTTGTGGATTTTTGACGATTTCCAGCTGTGTTACTGTGCTGCAAGAGCAATGACAGCAGCTCTACTCTATAATGTTAAGTATAATGTTTTAAACCAGAGAAAACACACAGCTTTCTGGCGTTGCCCCCTACATTCCTGACTGGCAAACTCTGAAACGTCCTCCTCTTCCTATAAAGTACCAGTTTAGAAGGGAAAAACAAAGGAGCATATGGTTAGTGCTTTTAAATGTGAGGACATTTCTCTGGATACATGCGGCCAAGCACAACTCGAAAAAAGTTGCTAGAGAACATGCAGAATGCCAAAGATCTCTTCAAGCAACTAATAAAAAAAAGATGCTAATTTGATTAGGACGGCAAGTAATGATTATTTTAATTATCAACTAATCTGCGGATTATTATAAATTGTTTAGTCAATTAAATGCCAAATTCTAATCATAACCTTGCAGAGCACAAGATGATATCTTAAAATATCCTTTTTTACGTGATCAATAGTCCAAAACCCAAAGCTACTCAGTGTCCAACTACATATGGCAAAGAGAAGCAGTGAATCCTGCAGCATTCAAGAAGAAACCTGAGAATGTGTTGTTTTGTTCAAACTATTTCTCTTTGGAAAATTAATTAGTGCCATCACAGTTCACTGTGCTGAGGGACAGTTAGAGACTAGCAGTTTGAGGCAGGGACAGATTCATTCACAATTACTTTAGAGAGTAATTCACGATTACTTTATCTACTGTAACCTGCTCACAATCCAGTGAAACTCTTGTTAGCATGAATCCTCAAACAAACGATTATTCATCTTGTTTAACATGCCCTCACTGGGTATGTTAATAATATGCTCAAATTAGCTATTAACCTATTAAAATGCCTGGTATAGTTTCCCACAAACCGAGGTTTGTCTTATTGTTGCCATGACCAGTCAAAAATCCAGAATGTTCACTTTACTGTCATCACGTGTGACTAAGAAAGGCTTACGATCCCCATATCTGAGAAGCTACAAACAGCAAATATCTGACATTTCTGATAAAGAAATGACAAGATTAATCAATTATAAAATGAATTTGCTGCAGATCAAATAATAAATTAATCAACCAATCATTGCAGTTCCAGATAAATGGTCTTATCTAGTGCTTTTCATGCACTCAAAGCCCTTTACAATATTTTGCCCATTCACACACACCCTCGTCAATGCTGCCATACAAACACTCGCACTATGGTGGCGATGGCCACTTGGTGTTCAGTGTCTTGCCCAAGGACATTTTATCATGTGGACTGCAGGTGCTGGGGATCGAACCGCCAACCTGACATTCAGGGGATTACCCCCTCTACTTCCCCTCAGTCCTTGGAGCATGGTAACTACTCAGTGGAAAACAAAGTTTTTATTATTACTGTGTTAAACCTATTCAGGTACAAAGTTAATTTCCTCTCAGGATCAAGCTCAGTGTCTTTATATCACTTACTGTTATACTTTACCCATCTCATCCTGGTCATTCTCTGAACTGCTACCCTCAGGCAGACAGTACTGGACAATATAAAAAAAAAAACAGGACAAACAGACTGAAAAACTGTTTTTATCTCAGGGCAGTACAAGAACTAAATGCAATGTGATAAGGAGTAGCGTAATGTAATATGAAATATGTGGAATTTAGTAAGGGATATGTGTTAGGGTCATGTTTTTATTGCTTTTTTTACATTCTTCTAGGAAGGCACCTAATTTCGTTGTACAAGTCACATGTGCAATGACAATAAAGATATTCCATTTAATCTATTGTTAATGTAATGCTTGAATAGCACATACTTCTGCTGTAAATCCCACTTCCTCCAAATAAAAAATATATTGGTCATATTGCTCATGTTCATTTAATAGATCTATGACAAAATAAACGTTTGGTAAACCTGTAACACATTTCGTAATCCTTGAACAGCTGCACAGACTGAATACACTGGACGTTCAGACTGATGTCACTGACTCACCATCACCTCTTAACCTACGACCTACAGCCAATGAAGATTACAACATTCTCCTTACATAAGGGATGGCAAGAGGGAAGTGACAGAGGCCTGCTGCTGAGAGCTGGATCCACCTGTCAGTCAGTAGTCAAGACAGATAAGTTACAGTACAACAGCTCCATGGTAGTCCTGGTCCAGTCAGTAACGATGGAAACTGTTATTAATCCGAGTTTACTGCCACTCTATCCACTGGCGAAAGAAAGGTTCCCAGACAAACGATATAAATCAGCCAAATTCACTAACTCTGAAGTGCTCACCGCCCGCCCATGAAATTGACACTGTTAACAAGAAGTGTTGTCCTCGCAAAACACAGAGGAAAACTTTGCTTTAAGTTCAAGTCTTCGTAGCGTTAGTTTTACCTGGTTTGGCCGGCTTGGGAGGAGGCTTCGACATTTTCGAGGCTCGGTGATAAAGTGAAACGATACGAACTGTGTTTTGTTTCGGAAAGAAACGCTACTCGACCGTACAATACTTTCCTATCTTTACCAATGAGGAAGTTGAGTTGGGCAGCGGAAATATTCATCTACGCGTGCGCAAAGCTGAACCAGTTTTATTGTATTGCATTGGTTGTAGATCTACTGCATAGACATACAGTACCTACAGTCTACTTTATCATAGATATGTCTATTCTATGCGGCTCTATTCTATGACGTTACAGTAGATTACAGTTTTAATGCATCGCACTGATAAATAAATAGATATGACTATTTATAGAATAAATAAGTAAATAATACAATAGGACAGAATGATTGCTTGTATTTTTAATTTAAAAGTAAACAAGCAATATAACAAAACAACATTATGTTGCTATGTAAATGCACGGTATGTGTCAATTATGTGTTTATGTCGGTTACAATTACTTTATTTCAAACAATTTGGTAATGTTGCTTGGCTCGGTCTAAGTTGATAGGTTCATATTATTGTTGTTTTTACAAATGATTGGAATTTTTGTAAGCACAATTTTCAATAAAGTTTTTTTTTTTAAGCCTCTCAAGATATATATCTTTTTTTTCAATGGGCAGGTCTAGAGTGACGTAAAGCTCCGTCGACCAATCACGAGCGTCCAACTGCGGAAACCAAAGAGGGAGTAAACACTAGTGTTGTTGCAGCACCAAGTACTAATACACCTGTGCAGACGTCATAAATTGTTAATTAATTTATCGTTACCAGTTTTATATAAGAGACTTTACAGTGAGCTACACAGCAAGCTGAGATGAAGACTCTAGTTGTAGGAGTAGGCGGGTAAGTTGGGAGCATTGTAAACATGAATGTGTTGCCATTTTATCGTCCCTACTATAAATACTCTTTATTGCTCTTCTTGTGTCATTCTTCCTCCAGATAGCCTGTTGGACCCCACACACAATTTTGTATGTGTCTAATACCACAAGATACAAGAGCAAAGACTAATAAGAATGGGTTACTTTGTGGAGTCACGTCTCTAAGAGAAATCAAATTGTCCAGTTTTTTTTCTTTTCCTGACATTAATGCCTTCTACAGACATGCTAAAAGTGTTGTTAAAATAAAGGGTTAGTTATGGTAGATTAAAAAAATATGCATGTATACATACCTGGAATTATATATTTTCATTGCATTAATATTTTGCAATGCAGTTCATCAATGCAGACAAATCTGAAAACAAATGAAAACAGGATAACTGAATAAGGTTGGTGACTGTAAACATTATTCAGGATATTTTAACTTTGGATTGGAACCATTTTTTTATATTATGTTTTAATCAGCCGATTATTTTCTCAATTGCTCTTTTGTTCAACAAATCATTAGAAATCAGAGAATAAAGTCCAAACTACCATGCGCATATGGTGCATACTGTAGTTGTCTCCATCAAGAAATTGTAGATTTCAGATAGTCTATTTGTGCAGCTTTAACCTTGATTAAGTAAGTAGTAAGTAAATTTTATTTATATAGCACCTTTCACAGACAAGGTCACAAAGTGCTTTACAAAGTCAAAAGATAAAAAGAGATAAATAATATACATAAGCCTAAAAAGTACTCACATAGCACAACACAATTTATAAAATGAATAAACCCAATCAATTAAAAAAACTGTCTAAATAAATGTGACTTCAGCTGTTTTTTAAAATCATCAATAGATTCAGTCATACGTAGAGTCAAGGGTAGGGCATTCCACAGTCTTGGAGCTACGACCTGAAAAGACAGGTCCCC